ATTTGTTCCGGTTACCCGAACAAATTACTTTTTTATTATCGACATGAGAATTGATTATTCAACAATTTATAATCAAAAAATCTAATTTTAGGTATATACCAATTGTTTTCGACATTTAAGCAATTTCTTGTCACTGTTTCATTGAAATAAAAAACATAGTAAATTTGAATTAGTAAAACTATGATTATGATTAGGAAAACAGTGGCTCTATCAAATTATGTATGGTTTCAAGAGTGTTGTTAAAGATGAAATTTGAGAAAATAATAATATACTTTTCAAAAAATACATTTCAAGTTACGGGTTAGTCTCAGTTACGTTGTGTCAAGCCGAAGTCCAAACAGCAGAAAGCAAATTTTAAGCAAAGTGATACGAAATCAAATAAACTAGGAAACAATAGAATGCAATAACTTGAATGATATATGAGGGGTTAAAGTATGAAATTACCGATTTTTACTGAAAAATTGAAACTTTTTTTTTTTAAGGTGTAACATATTATTTAATCAAAATATTTACCCTCATTATCTATACATTGCTGTCATCTAAACGGAAGTTTATTTATGCGTTTACGATAAAACTCTGGGCATTTAGATGTGACAAACTGTGTGAAAGCATTTTGTACTGTCTCCTGATAAGAATTTTTTTATACTGTAGAAAATTGACCAAATTATTAAAAAAAGATGTTTGTTTTGTTTCTGAGTCTGGGTATAATTTTTCTACAAAATGTATGTATATAAGTATTTTTACCAGGAGTCTGTTTACCATAGCACAGGCACTATCTGGTTTGGGACGAGACTGCCATATGTGAGATATGAGAAGTTATTTTTAGTATTATTATAATTGTACTATAGATGAAAATAATTATGAAATGCACTAAGACTAATGACCGGATAATAGGTTTGTCTGTTTACGTTTTTCGGTCCGAAACCAATTCACAAACACGAAAACAATTTTCAGGTGATTAAACCCTCCCAAAAGGAAAAATCTAAAATAGGCTGTCAGTGCTTATCTGCAGGCCCGAAAATGACAAAGCATGGCTCCCCTACGACTACTTAAGGACTAATTAATAAAAATTCTAATCTCATTCATTCATTAATCTCATTCGTTCATTAATCCATCATCATCATCATCAACAGCCTTTAATAGTCCACTGCTGGACATAGGCCTCTCCTTAGAAATGCGGTTTCGGGCACCACGCTAGCCAGACGGGTTGGTACAGGGTTTGTTTTGGTCGCGGGCCTATTCCCGCAGCGGGCGGAGCACACACCCCCGTCGATGGCTGCATCAGCCGGAGACGACGGGGGCAGCGAGGTTGATGTTCCGCCCGTCAGGGAATCGGAGTTGGGGGCGGCTGTTCTACGGATTCGATCCAAGAACACCACCCCCGGGCCGGACGGGGTTCCAGCCCGAGTGATGGCCCGAGCCCTCGACTACATGTCGGACTCAGGGGGGTGTTGGATGCTAGCCTGGCGTCCGGACGCTTCCCTGAGCGCTGGAAGTGCGGGAAGCTGGTCCTGCTACAGAAGCCGGGACGGCCTGCCGATTCGGTCGCGGCCTATAGGCCTATCGTGTTACTGGACGAGGCGGGTAAACTTTTTGAGAGGGTGCTCTCTGGTTGGCCCTGATCTGTCGGACGCTCAATTCGGTTTCCGGGAGGGGCGTTCGACGATCGATGCCGTAATGGGCCTTAGGGCCGTGACCGAGGAGGCCGTGAGCTGCGGCGGAGTGGTGTTGGCGGTGTCCTTGGACATCGCCAACGCCTTCAATAGTCTGCCATTCAGCTGCATCAGGGAAGCGCTCCGCTACCACGGAGTGCCGGAGTACCTGAGGCGGCTGGTGGCAGACTATCTTGAGGAGCGAACCGTCATGTACGAGGATCGAGATGGCGTCTTGAGACGCAGGGCCATGTCGTGCGGTGTTCCGCAGGGGTCTGTCCTAGGACCTCTCCTGTGGAACATCGGGTACGACTGGGCCCTACGAGGACGTCTCCCCCCTGGGCTGGGTGTAATCTGCTACGCGGATGACACTTTAGTCACGGCCCGGGGGGCTAACTTCCAGGAGGCGGCGCGCCTGGCCGCCACGGGAGTTTCCCAGGTGGTCGGGTGCATTGAGGCGTTGGGACTACGGGTGGCCCTGGATAAGACGGAGGCCCTATTATTCCATGGGCCCCGTCGTGGTCCACCCGACGGCGCCTCAATCGAGGTCGGCTCGGTCCTTGTACCGGTCCGGGCCCAGATGAGGTACCTGGGTCTGGTCCTAGACGGTAGGTGGCTCTTCGACGAGCACTTCCGACAGCTTGGTCCGAAGCTGGTGGACACTGCCTCCGCCCAAGGGCAACTTTTGCCCAATTTGGGCGGGGCCAGTGTTCCCACGAGGCGGCTGTACGCGGGGGTTGTCCGGTCCATGGCGCTTTATGGTGGGATCAGTGGGATTTGGAGGCGGAAGTGCTCGCCAAAGTGTATCGGCGAGTGGCTGACTTCCGGGCGGAGAGCGGATTTCGCCCTCCGCCCGAAGACGTGCGCGAGTGGCGCGAAGCCGCTCGCCGAGCCATTATGGTGAGATGGTCGTTCCGGCTGGAGACTCCACGCGCTGGCTTCGCCGCCGTGGAGGGCCTCCAGCCGGTCATCGCCGAGTGGGCAGGGTGGCAGCACGGGACCCTTACCTTCCGGCTGACGCAGGTGCTTTCCGGGCACGTCTGCTTCGGAAAGTACCTGTACTCAGTCGCTAGGAGGGAATCGAGTCCCGCCTGCCACCACTGCGACTGCAGTGAGGACTCGGCCCAGCACACGCTGGCGGTCTGCCCCGCATGGGCGACGCAGCGCCGGGCCCTCACTGCAGTCATCGGAGCAGATCTCTCGTTACCGGCCGTAATTCGCTCCATGGCCGGTAGCGACAGTTGTTTTACCGCGGTCGCAACCTTCTACGAGGAGGTAATCTCGCAGAAGGAGGCGGCGGAGAAGGCCCGGGAGGACGACCTCCACTCGGACCTGATCCGCCGCCGGCGAACTGGGCGGCGGAGGCGCGCTCACCTGCGCCTCATGCCGCCCTGAGTGTGGCCGCGGGTGGACGGGATGGGTTCTCCCCTCCACCCGCATTAGTTGGCCAGCCGCGAGGGGGCGGCGTCCGCGTGTGCCGGACGTCGCCTAAAGAGAGGAAAATTTTGAGACGGAGCCAGCAACAGGAGCGGGCCGGCGCTGGGAGGGGTCCAGAAGGCGATAACTACCTGGACCCCTCCTAAACTGGAAGCGCAAAGAGGGCACACCGTGTGGTTTTAGTCGGTTCGAGTCCGACACACCGCCCCGCCGAACGAGAGCCCCGGCGGGGTGACGGTCCGAGGGGATTTCCACACGTTAAAAAAAAAAGGGTTTGTTTCAAGTTTTCCTTCTCTCTGCGGTGCTGTTGTCCTGCGTAGTTTGCTTCCTTAGTCGCTTCTTACACACCCACGGGATGAATAGGGGTGGTGACACTCTGTATTCTTAATCCGTCACCACACAGATAAATAATCCATAAGCTGTTTTTTTAATATCGCCTTTTTTTAATTAAGTTTTAAATTAATTCTTTTACTGCAGTAAAGTAAATAGCGCGATATACAGCCCGCTTCATTATTTATTGACGCGATAAATAAATGTATATTGCGTCAAAATTTTTGCGTTTTTTAACCGTAAACAAATCAGCTTAACATTTTTGTACATAAAAACCAATAAAACCAACTTCAATCTAACGTTTAAACGATTAATCATAATAAATTTTAATATATTCACATGTTTTTTATAGGAAAAGCTCACTCACATTTTTCCGCTTCACTTACTGTTCCTAAGATACTCGAGGTCAAAGTTCAAGGTGTCGTTAATGCCCCTGTCTTACGGGAAATTTAACTATAACACTTCTCTGCGACGCATTTTTTTTAATATTAAGCGGTTTTTAATTGAACTCACTAAGTGATTCTGGGTGTCAGATTGATATTAAGGTAGGATTTTTATATAGATTTAGAATGTATACATATATATCTGGATAAATATTTAAAAGCCTAATTTCAATACATATTTCAGCTAGTCAACAGAATAATAAAATAAATACTCTTTATTGTACACCGAGGAAAAGAAAATAAATACACACTAACAGTTAATACATATGTACATAAAATGTGTAAAAATAAATGAACGGCCCTATCTCAAGCAAGGCGCGTCTCTCCCCATACAAAGCATGAATGTACTGTTTTAACTATAGAGCATGTTACTCTACCTTGATTACCTACACAAATTTAGAGAAACATTTAACTCAAAATTTTTATTTATGTTCGCGCCATCTCATCTTTCATAGTTACAACAGAGTAAATCGATTACTCATCTGTCTCAATTATTGTCTTTAAATAGATTTTTGATATTTTTCATTTCATAAATTTTAAGTATTCCTTCATATTTGAAACTTTCTAGACGAGTGATCGAATTCATGTGATAAAAAGGCCTTACTTTATCTAGGAAAGATAAAAATCATAGCGATTTATCGATTCTGATTTACTAATTCTCTTCTAAATCTAAATATATACATAAAACTATGTTTAGGAACACTTTTAAAACATATTTCGAAACCTACATAACTATTTCATTTCAATAATATAACACCCATTACGTAGTAGTGTAAGGATAAATAGGAAGCGACCGTAGCATAATAATATGCTGTACTACAAACGTGACTATAAAAACTTTGTAGATATATAACTAGATCGTAATATAGAAATAAAACACAAGGATATATCCATAATTATCTATTATCTCGCATGTATTTTGATTGCAGTAACATTAAAGTCTTTAACGGAGCTGGTAAGAGTAAGGCGAGGCAAAGGTGTAAGCAGAATAGGCAGCGAGCAGCAACTTCAGAAGTAGTGTATTAGCATTAAGTCTTTCTTTTACTAGTTCGTAAAACGTAAGTAAAATGCGATGTATTATCGATCACAATTTATTATCATATTGGTAGTTTTATTAGGTACTTTAACAGAATATTTATTAACGCAGCAGATAGGTGGAGTAATGGGCAGCATAGGGATAAGCGGAGTAGGCAGCAATTGGAGCAGAGTATGCGGAGTAGGCGAGCGGCGCTGTATAGGCGGCCGCGACTGGCGCGGTGTACGCAGCTGCCACGGGAGCTGTGTATGCGCTGTAGAATACACCTGGCTTGGGCTTGGGATCAGCAGCCACCAACGCCAACACACAAGCGAGTAATAACTGCAAAGAAAAATCTTTGTTTATCATACATATAATTTAAAAATGATTTCTGCAATATACAATGCACATTAAATTAACATTACTTACGAATTTGAACATGTTTGATTAGTGTTATCACAGTACAGCTGTTAAACTGAATGATATCAAGACTGGGAAATAGTCAGACTTTATAGTCTTACTGAAGGACAGTGTTCAATGTGAGGTAGAGTGCACTATGTGTGTGAGTTGAATACCAATAGGATATTTCGTATCGTCACGCTACTCTCGATTGTGATGTCTTGGTCATGATTGAATTATATTTTTGTCTTATCAAGTCTTACATTACAATTAGCCAAAGAAATAAGTGTTTTAGTAAATATTTTTTATCGATTTGAGGAATCTGGATAAATAAAATCATTTAAATTGTAAGAGCTTCGTGATAATATTATATAAAGCGTATTTTATTATTTTATAACGACGGTTTATTTTTATTAATTTTCTGAAAAACATGGCTGCCTTTTAACCCTAGATTTAACCCAAATACTTTATAATCTAGTTAAAATTACTTACTAAATAACCTATAACCTATTTTTGTTTAAAATAACAGTTATAGCTCTTCATGAGAAATAGTTCACTATTCTTGTTTAAAAGTTTTAATGCAAATTGCCATAATTCACACATTTCTCATATTTTTACATTCTGTAAACTTCCAGCTTAGATACTGTATAAACTGTTTCGTATTATTATTTATTAAATATTTTTATTAATTTCATTTAAATATATTCCAAATAAAATGATTAACACCTTCTCGGTGTATGACTCTAGGCGGGGGGGAGGGCATAAACTGTTAGGATTTTGAGTTAACTTTTTGAACAACTCATTAAAAGTATTGCCTATAAGCATTTAAATTCAACAGGTACACTTTAATAAGCTATTTACTTTACTGCAGGAAAGGAATTAATTTAAAACTTAATTAAAAAAGGCGATATTCAAAAAAATAGCTAATGGATTAATGAACCTATCAAGTAAAATTTTCAATTATAAAGTTAATTTTTAGAAAAAAAACAAAAACCGACTTCAAAACTATACCTATATGTACAAATTTAAACTGAAAAGTAGAAAATAATATTAAATAATAATAATGATATTAATTTTTTATTTTAATTACTTTAAACATTCAACGAAAAGGTTTCCTAAGTTATTTTTAAAGTCGGTGCCGCCCAAAAACAGTTTAATTGTTGCAAAGGCAGCAACAAATGGAATGTACGGCGGCGCGACGCGGCTGCGCGCGTGTTGCAGCCGGACAGGACGGGACGCGGGGGGATGTGCCTAAGTGAGCGACCCGAACGCGGGCAGACGCGTGAGGGCAGACGTCGTTGACGGTTGTGTCTCTATGCATAAAAATTTTGATGCGCTTCTTTGCAATTTATAAGTAAGCTTACGTGCGATTTTCTTTTCTCTAGTAAAAGTTAAGGTAATTAATATAATAAATAGTGTAATTAATTATTAGGTTATTTTTTTATTAACGATATTTTTGTTTTGGTTGGCACCGACTTCAAAAATAACTTAGGAAACCTTTTCGTTGAATGTTTAAAGTAATTAAAATAAAAAATTAATATCATTATTATTATTTAATATTATTTTCTACTTTTCAGTTTAAATTTGTACATATAGGTATAGTTTTGAAGTCGGTTTTTGTTTTTTTTCTAAAAATTAACTTTATTTTTAATTTTTAAGTGGAAAGTTAGTGTATTTTGTTTGTATATAATATGGGTAGGCCTACTAAACGCGCTTCTCAAATGAGAAAGCGTCGTTTGGAAGAAAGTAGGGACGAGAGGGAAGATCGTCTAAAGAAGAGTAGGGAAAGATTTGCAATAAAAATTGCAAATGAGAGTGATGAGCAGCGGGCGTATAGACTTTCTCAGATGAGGGCATACTCAAACTTATCAAGGCTTAATGAAAGTCCAAAAAGTCATGCTCAACGACTCAGTTTGATTCACGAGCGTTTATCAAACGAAAGCAAAGAGCAACGTTCTCATCGTCTTCGGTTGATTCACGAGCGTTTATCAAACGAAAGCGAAGAGCAACGTTCTCATCGTCTTGAGTTGATTCACGAGCGTTTATCAAACGAAAGCGAAGAGCAACGTTCTCATCGTCTTGGGCTGATTCACGAGCGTTTATCAAATGAAAGCGAAGAGCAACGTTCTCATCGTCTTGGGCTGATTCTCGAGCGTTTATCAAACGAAAGCGAAGAGCAACGTTCTCATCGTCTTGGGCTGATTCACGAGCGTTTATCAAACGAAAGCGAAGAGCAACGTTCTCATCGTCTTGGGCTGATTCACGAGCGTTTATCAAACGAAAGCGAAGAGCAACGTTCTCATCGCCTTGGTTTGATTCACGAGCGTTTGTCAAATGAATCTATCGAATCCAGATCGACTCGATTAGATGCTATGCGACAAGCTAGTCGCAACCGCAGGAATGATTTCGAACAGTCTATTAACATTTTTGCAGACGTTCAGTGTGCCGTTTGTTATAAAGCGTTATATCCACCACAACGTTTTAATTTACGTACTGCAATTTACAGTGCATTATTACCCAAAGAATTGGTGTCTCTGGGCAATATCATAACATGCTCTCGCTGTCAAAATAATATTAGGAAACGAAAAATTCCACCAGCAGCTTTCTGGAACAAAATGACAGTCGCGACTGTTCCTCAAGAGCTAGCTAATTTGATGAAACTTGAAGAACGGTTTTTATGCCGTGTTGTACCGTTTCTTAAAATAATGAAATTACAAAATCGTTTCTGTCAAGATTGGTGTAAGGGACAAGTAACTTTGTTTGCAAAAGACGTTGTTGAAGTCGCTGAACAACTGCCACTTGCGCCAAACCAAGTAGGATTAGTTCTTGTTGTGGAAAGTCTCGAGAACTTGCAACGCTCCCAAGAGTTTGTTGTGGATATGAACAGATTGTATCAAGCTCTAACCTGGTTAATGTCAAACAATATACTCTACAGAGATGTAAGACCCCATTTTGAGAATGTTATCGACATTTCTGAACTTGTTCAAATTTCTGAAGAGCCTGCAGATGGTGGTGAGCTTATGGAGTTAGAATCTACTCCTCAAAACAACTACGTCGATATAAATGAAAACGTTTCTATACTACACGGATCATTTCATCAAGCTGATTTAAGATTTGATTTACAATCTCGTGGCAAACAATGCACTGCTGTAGCAGCTGTAGCTTGTGCAGCGTTCTGTACAGATGAGCCAAGTCAATGGTCAAAAAGTGACATTGATTATATAGTAATACTCGGAGATAAGCTCTACCGTGAGTCCATTGCTTCTAGAGAGAACCCCGCAATTGGAGAAATTAATCCTGAATATCTTGCTGCGAGTGATCTTGCACAGCAAATATTATATAACAGGAAGAAAATCAATATCTCTGTTACTGATACCAATTATAATGGTCATATAGATACAGATCGAAGTACTGACGGCTTCCCTAACCTAAAAAATGCTCTGACATTATTTTTAAGAGAAAACTGTTGCGGGCTGCTTACTGCGAATTCCATGACTGTGGCTATATATTGTAAAACTGAAACTGATGCTTATAAATATTGGTTGTTCGATTCACATGCACGTGGGCCTAAGGGAGGTAAAGCTCCAAAACGTGGTGCAGCCTGTTGCATGAAATTCCAAAATATAGATGAATTACATGATATAATGCGACGAAATTTGTTTACTCCGACGAAGAAAGTACCGGCACAAGATTACTTTCTCAATGTGTACTCACTAACTCCTTTGATTATAACACCGGAGAACCAGGCAGAAGAGCGCAGAGAAACGTTGGGGAATCAACATTTCAACAATACTCAGGAGCAGTCAAGAGTAGTTCAGTCAGAGAGCCCTACATATACAATACTTACATCAGAAAAAGACAGTCCTCCAATATTTCAAGCAAACTCAGTCCTGGAACAAGAAAGACTGCACAGAGACACTTTGAGAACATCAGAGAGTCCTACATATACAATTCCTGTACTAGAAAATAACAACACTCCTCAACAAACATCTCGACCAACCTCAGCTTCAGTACAAGAAAAAACACTATCATACATACAACCAATTGCCACTATAATTGAAACAACTAGTATGCTCCGTAGCATAGATGAAGCGGTCCCTGATCTAGAAAGTGTAGTTTCTTTGAATCCCAATCCCACAACGAATAATAACGAGATGAGATTAGCTGAGATTTCAAGAAAAACAGCGCCACCATTAAATGTGGATCGAGAGCGACGAATGGAAGAGCTTGCTTGGTATTGTCTTTTTCCTGATGGAAAAAATGGCTTTGGAGAGGAAAGAGATATTCAAATTACTCCTTTGGACTATTTTCAGAGTCGAGTAATGAGCCTGGACAAGCGTTTCAATCGAAACGACTATTTGTTTTTTGCTCTTTCTATAGTTGAATATTATCGAGCTAAATCCAGTGTTTCTGTATCATGCCGGATGCGTCAGGGCCAAGGCGAGCAGACACCTCAAGGACTCATAGATAACATGCATCTTACTATGAGGAATATCAGAGGATCGGCGTCTTATTGGCAGAAATGTTGCTCTGAAATTACTGCAATGGTCCGAACTTTGGGGCCTCCTACGTGGTTCATGACGTTCTCTTGCAACGACCTTAATTGGCCAGACATGACCAAAGCCTTACTCATCGCAGATGGTCGTGATGTAAATCAAGCAGAGAACCTGTCTTTCCCCGAGCGTTTGCAATTGGTACAGAAATATCCCGTGGTTGTCTCTCGACAATTTTCGGTTCGCGTGAACGCTCTGATGCGATTCCTCAAACGCGATCCAGACTGCTTAGGTGGTCCAGTTGTGGACTTTTGGTATAGAATAGAGTTTCAAAATCGCGGAAGTCCACACCTTCACATGTTGGTGTGGTGTGACAATATCCCAGATTTCTCGACTCAGGAGGGTATCGAAGTCATCGAAAGGGTGGTTTCATGCTCTTTAATGCCCAATGATTCTGTATTGCAGAAATTAATAAAAGACGTGCAAATACACAAACACACGGCCACGTGTTACAAAAACCGCAACGATAGTCATTGTCGTTTTGGTTTC